TTCTTATCCAAGCCAGGGGGTTGCAGACTAAAGACATCACGGGTAGGAACCTTTCTTATCCAAGCCAAAGGGTTGCCGGCTAAAGACATCACAGGTAGAAACCTTTCTTATCCAAGCCAAAGGGTTACCGACTAAAGAAATCACAGGTAAGAACCTTTCTTATCCAAGTCAAAGAGTGGCCGGCTAAAGACATCACAGGTAGGAACCTTTTTTATCCAAGCCAAAGGGTTGCCAGCGAAAGACATCACAGGTAGGAACTTTTCTTAAATAAGTAGGGTTTGTCCTTAGTCAGTTCCGTAGTATTCAACAAATCCTTTAAATAAGTAGGGTTTGACCTTAGTCTGTTCCCTAGTATTCAACAAATCCTTTAAATAACTAGGGTTTGTCCTTAGTCAGTTCCCTAGTATTCAACAAATCCTTTAAATAAGTAGGGTTTGTCCTTAGAAAGGAGACAGAAACCCTTCTATTTGTGGTCTCAGTTTATTAGCCTTTCTGATGTTTCTTCCATGATTTTATTTTATATGAGTATTAATAATAGTCTTAATTAGGTCTAGTGAAGACAGAGTTTAATGATATCATTATTTCAATGTGCAACAGCACCACAGGAAACATTCTGATAATTTGTAGTAATGAACCTTACTTATCAATGACAGCTTAAGAATTATTGCAGTGGTTGTCCAAACAAAAGGTTAGATTGTTCCTTCAGATGATAAGCAAATGAAGAAACAGAGATGATATATGAGCCACTATGTATTGTAGGCTAGAAGCTCCCAAACTGGGAGCCGCAAGAAAGTATCAGAGGGGGAGGAGGAGCTTTTGCAAATAAACGAAATACAAAATAGTGTTAAGATACTCAGTATTGAGTGTAGGCCTCAGTCAAAATGCAGGTTTTTCTAGGAGGCACTCTTCTGAGAACGTTTGGGAACCCATGTTGTAGATCATTACATAATTGTAATAAATATCAAGATCATATTTTATAGATAATTGCGAAATACCAAATAATCTTTCTTATGCAATAAATATCTTCTAATTCATGACCATCATTAGTTTCTATCTCATGACCAATGTATTGGTTAGTACTAATCTTCTAAGACATGACCACCAAATTGTTGGTTAGTACTAATCTTCTAATTCATGATCACCAATGTATGGGTTAGTAGTAATCTTCTAAGACATGACCACCAAATTGTTGGTTAGTACTAATCTTCTGAATGATGATCACCAAATTGTTGGTTAGTACTAATCTTCTAAATGATGATCACCAATGTATTGTTTAGAACTAATCTTCTAAGACATGACCACCAAATTGTTGGTTAGTACTAATCTTCTAATTCATGATCACCTATGTATTGGTTAGTACTAATCTTCTAATTCATGATCACCTATGTATTGGTTAATATTAATCTTCTAATTCATGATCACCAATAATTAGAAGATTAGTACTAACCAATACCATGATCACCAATGTATTGGTTAGTACTAATCTTCTAATTCATGACTGCAGATTTAGATAATTCTGATTATACCTTTCATATTATGTAATACTGTAAAAGTATTTGTAGTTCACTTTAAGAACGACAAACTTTGTGGTAACTTTAACTGAAAATCTTGCACGTTTTTACCAGGTAACAATTTGGGGGGGGGGGATAATTTAATGGAAACAGATCAGTTAGTTAGAACAACTGAGGGATAATTTAATGGCAACAGACCAGTCAGTTAGAACTAATGAGGAATAATTTAATGGAACAGATCAGTCAGTTAAGACTAATGAGGTGTATTTTAATGGAAATAGACCAGTCAGTTAGGACTAATGAGGGACAACTCAATGGAAACAAACCAGTCAGTTAGGACTAATGAGGAATAATTTAATGGAACAGATCAGTCAGTTAAGACTAATGAGGGGTATTTTAATGGAAATAGACCAGTCAGTTAGGACTAATGAGGGATAATTCAATGGAAATAAACCAGTCAGTTAGGACTAATGGGGAATATTTTAATGGAAACAGATCAGTCGGTTAGGACTAAAGTTTCTTGATTGCGTACCTGAGCGTAGCTTTGCGTGAATAATTAACAATCTTAATTAAGATTCCAGATAACTCAAATATTAGAACTATTCGAGTTTAAAATCTCATGTGATTGTAGAGTTTAAAATTGCTCCTAAAACTTAGGACTTTAACCACAAAATCAAAAGACGCATTTTAAATTTTATCTTATGTAAGGTGCTATGAAAAGTATATAGTTGTGGCTTATGGCTTTCATGATAGAAAATTAAACAAACAAATAAACAGTGTACAGATTATGTCAGAAGTTGGAAGAACGCCATCTGTCTGTCTGTTAAATGTCTCAATCAGCCCTGTAGAAACCTTTTTCTTACTTGAACTGTCTTACCAGAAGAGACTTTATTGAAATGTTGAAACTCAAAGTATAGTTTGGCTCTGAACTGTTTCCATGTTAAACCAAGTCTTCGCCTTATGAAAGACTTGGGTAAACTGGAAAAATCTTATTTAGCATTTATATTCCATGCAGGCACCAGCGACCCCTATGTGAGAATTTGTCTGCTTCCAGACAAAAAGCACAAACTCGAGACCAAAGTTAAACATCGAACTCTTAGCCCTCGTTGGAACGAAACATTTTACTTTGAGGGTAAGTTAACGTCTTTTTTGTATGTTCATATTACAGCTTAACGTGTTTAAACACATTAAACAACTCTTAAACTTATAATACTGAATTAAATAATCATCGTACCCAATATTTCAAATAAAATCTTCCTTTCAACGCATGGCATATATAATGGTTAGAGACGGCTTGAATGGGTAATGAAGAAAAAACTTTAATATAAGTTTAACATAACAGCAAATGTACA